TGTCAGCCATCTCGTTTATAAATATACTACGATGGCCTGGCACCCATATCATTCGCAATAGACGAATGTTTGCTGGTATTAATGATTTAAAAGTCTCTAGTACTGCTGATGTCGACGACGATGATAAGAATGAACACACGGAATACGAGTCAATCACTATCACAGCTGTCGAATGAGTCGCAGGAAGTTTACGAATAGCTAGTATAACGGCCATTAATTCCGCTTCAAATATTGGTGTATAATCTGGGAGGCGTAATGAAAATGACCAGAATAATGAGAGAGAAAAAATACCCACACCTGCCTTCTCGCCACTCATAGATGCATCCGTTGCAATTACTGTATTAGTACCTAATTGAGACAGGTGTTGTTCTAATAAACCAATCAAATATTTAGAGGGCAAGTGTTTAGCATATCCACTTCAGTCATAATTCCTCATCGTCGTCAGCCACTGCATGAACAATTGGCACGAGATTCCTTGCAAGTGTTTAGCGGATACCACACTTCTCAGAAGAATGACAATAAAATAACATGGCGAATGCCAGCCTACTACCCAAAAAAATTATTATTAATGCCCTAGGGGGTATCAAGCAAGTTTGCTTGCAGTAGTTAACAAATGAGTGTTTTAAAAGGCTGTGAAAGGCCGCTCTTCCAGCTTTTGCTGTGACTGTGCTGCGCCTTCCGCGCCGGCCTGGTGTTTTTTATAAATATTACATTTGTACTCTTTTTATACAGCCGTCACGTCCTGTTAACGTCAATTGTGGTTAGTTGCCATGCGCTGAAGTTTTGTCCATGTAGCAGTGTCCAGGGCTACCATCCTTGTGAGCATCCGCGCATCATATCAGCTTCTGGTGTTGCTAATACGCATGTCCCAGTTGGCATCGTTGCGCAAGTGCAAACAACTGGTCATATAAACATCTGCAACTCTTCAACATATGTCTGTGTGTGCAACGTTTGTACATATATATAGCGTAATTTGATGACATGTCGCTCAATAAAAAATGCAACACGGTCACCTTCCCTGCGTAGGCTTCGCATAACGTCGACTCCCATGTACGTGGGATCTACCGATTTTTTTTTCCTTTTTTGTGAGAAATTATCCAGAGTTCGTGTCTATTCTGTCGGTGTTGTTCGCTACAAACCGTCTCTGATGCCCGATTTGCTACAATCATTATTTACATCAGTATTTTCTTTATCTGTGTTCTTGTGCATTGTTAAAAAAAGCAACGCCATATTTGTTACCAGATGATTTGGGGGGTTTAACGTCCCAAAACCACGATATGATTATGAGAGACGCCGTAGTGGAAGGCTCCGGAAATTTTGACCACCTGGGGTTCTTTAACGTGCACCCGAATCTGAGCACACGGGCCTACAACATTTCCGCCTCCATCGGAAATGCAGCCGCCGCATATTTGTTACCAGCTTCGCACAGTGGTCTATTTTCCTTCTGTCATTATCGTAGCAGTGTTTTAAATATGAAATTCCGATTTTTTTTATATTGAGGTCAAATATTTCTGCCAGTTTTCTTGTGTATCATTGCATCTGACATTTACTTTGGCCCTTCAACATAGGACGAAGGAAGATATGAGGCGACGAGGTTCTAGGTACAGCTGTGCCTGCAAGACATAAGGTTTTTGACTCTTTGTATAGAATTTAGTTGAACATGTAGTAACCCCTTTTTGTTGAGATGCTGGACAAGCAAGAAAGGAGTTTTATGCACCAAAGCTACAGCCGGGATGGGGGAGAGGGGCAGACCAAATCTCTTGATGATACATGACACCTCATTTACAAATACTGGAGCAAGAGCCTTGATTTTCAGCATTTTAGCCTCCCACAAAAGAAGAGAGAGAATAAAAGCATGCAGCCTCCATCAAACTGTGGCGACACACGAAATAATACCGCTCAGTGTCCTTCAACGTGCGTCAAAACGTAGCTATACACAAGCCTCAGCTGTTGCCTCCGTGTAAATTCAGCCGCGAGAAAAAAAAAGAAGGAAAAGATAAGATGGGAAAAGAGGGGCAGAGATCCGGAGAAGTTATCCACGTGCGTCTAAATATATGTACATGAACCTTCGGCTGACAAGACAAAAAAAAAGAAAGAGATGAGCCAACAAAGAACGGTATACCCTTGTGTTATGCACGCGAAATAATATTAGAAAAGTTGGCCAATATAGCATAAAACTTTCACTGCAAGAATTTCGCTTCGTTTCCGAGAAACAAGCTATGTTTTTTTTTAGCGCGGTAGCATATACTAGCACTTGTGTTTGAGCCAAAGAGAGCTATACTATAATGTAACTGCCACAGTACTTTCGTAGTCGAGTGTAAACGACCTTAAAAATCATACCGACGCATATTGTGATATTTCGCTACAGCTTGGAAAACGCCGTTTGGCAGGTTGCAACCTAGATTATATATTCCACGCTAGCAGCCTCCGTTTGCCCAAATTGGCTTTTAAAGGTCCATTAAAGTTGCATGAAAAAGTAAGGAGTAACTTTTTTAAGTACTTTCTTTGTATCTGAAGCAAGGCGATGCACGTTAACTGCGTGGTTATAGCACGTCTGAAATATGTAACTACATGTCAGCACAGTTGATGTTGTCACTGAAACGACTGAAATCACATGCTTGGCAGCCAGACGGGCGCCGCTTGACTCATGGTGAAAGATCGCCATCTCGCGGCGTTTTCAGGAGGCGACAAAATTACGCTTCTCTGCTGGGTGACGCGCCAAATGGCACGGCCGCACACATCGAGGCACCCCGGACGACCGTAGTAACTGGGCGCCGCCGGCTAATCTCGGAGGCCATGCTCGTGGTGTTCCATCAGCCGATGGCTGTGTTCATACGCTTTTAAGTACGTGACGCGCGGTTGATTTTGTGTAGATGGCATCCTTTGTCAAATGACCGAGATAAGGGCAGGTCTAAGGGCTTGTTTCGTTTTCTTTGTTAAGCACAACAGTAGTAAAAACTTGTCTGTCAGTTCACATTATTCATTTGTCGATACAAGAGAGGGGCGACATTGTTAGCTTACTATATATTTGATTGTAAATTCCATGCTGCTTGCTGCTCTAAATGACTAGTTCCCCATGCTAGCATTAACCTCGACTACCGGTCGACAGCATTTTCTGATCATGCTCAAAAAGAGTTTCAGGGCTCCCACAACATGAAATAATAAAATAAAACACTACGGGCGTACGCGGACATCTGAAATTTTTGTGTTATGTTATGCACAGTACTTGAAACCTTGTCGCGATTGCGGAGTCACTTGTCAGAATCCGCTGATGCTCAAATGTCAAATATTATGGTAAGGTGGATCATCACAAGACACTATAGGAGAGAACACTGCCGTAGTGGACACGTCGATGGAACGCGGTGTAACAGTTGGGCGTTGATGCCCGAGCGTTTTTTTTTTTTTTTTGTTAATGACAGCGCCTAGGATAACGAACACAAGCACACTCGCCAGGTCATTTCGATTACGATGTCGGCGTTAGTGGCAGAGTCATAGGCTGTAAGAGAAACATCAACGTTGTTCATGAGCGAGAGTTCGAGATATCTATGCAAATAAGTATATTAAGAAACATTCGGCCCTAGCGAAAATTGAGCCTATGGCTTGTGCGTGACAAGCAGGGTTTTACGACAGAGATACGCCGGTGCAATTCAATCGCTTCGTTAAAAAAACACACAATTTGAATTTCATGCAGCGGGAGAAGTTTCCTGTACGCATGTAATACTGCGCGGCAGAATCGTAGAACCGCATCGGGCGTAAAAATATCTGGATTTCGCAACGAGTGGTTAGTTTAAAGCGACCCATTTATTACGAAGTATGCAGCTGAGCAGTTGCCGTGGCGCTTTGAGAAAGCGTATACTGGGTGCTGCCAATTCGCATTAAGAAGAAATACGACATACTGGGTCGTGAATGACTGCTTGCAACAGGCATTCTAGGATTGTTTGAGACGGCCAATCTTACGCGCACAAAAGTTCCTTTCCATGCGGAACGCTTGAAGGCGATGCACGTGGGTTCCGATTACGCTATCCCATTCTACTCTAAGGCGAATGCTCAAGCGTCCTTCACGTATTAGCTTACTTCTCCGAAATCGTTCGTGTATCTCGAACGCGTCATGCTAGGTGGGGATAAAAAACAGGCAGACGTCATCTCCAATGCTTGTTGATGTCATGATTTCGCGTTTATTTATTATAAAATGCAGTTAATACAATGAAGTGTTTGCACGATGCACAGTTGACTGATCTCTCGTTATGCAGCACCGTTGCTATAGGTGCTGCTGCATTGAAACCAGGTCTGTCGGTGACGGCATCTTGCAAACGACGTTGACGACGCAGGAATATAGGCAGGCTGTCGCCAATGAAGCAGGTGTACAGTTCAGTGAAGGAGACGCTTGGCACACAGTGGAGTTTTCGGCCAGCAGACCGAGATAGCTCCAGCAGTACAGCTCAAATTAATGTCGCTTTAAAACAACTTCGTGGAGTAAATATTTCTCTCCGTAGATAAAAAAAAAAAGCTGCTGAAAATGAAGTTTGAAATAAGGAAAGAGCTGAATGTGTTTTATCGTCACGCTTGAAATCTTTGAACGATGTTCTCGAATTCACTTTGCAAGCGACGGCATCCGCTAAGTGAATAAGTATCTACAAAATGGTGTTAAAACGGTACACAGTTTTTCAAACAGCGCAGAGACGAAAGCCCAAGAATGGACCACAAAATAAAGGCGTCGACTTCCAACAGACAACCGATCTTGGCGCTACAGTGTAGGTCTCGTTATCGCATACCAAAATCTAATCGCGTCGCCGTCATCAGAAATCTTTCAAATCAGCGCACGCACGAGATCACTGACGCATTCACCATTATCAAGCGTCAGTTCACCACCCATCGGTTATACTTGACAAGGCAATCGCATATCTGTAAGGTTAACACTTCAAAAGCCTGTAACCACTAGTCATTCATTTTATCATGTTTATCACGTGTCCTCCCTTTGCCTGATTGCACATTTCTTGTTTGCACAATTAAGTCCCTGCTTGGGGTCAGCCCTTGCGTTGTGTAGCCTGGTCTCGCTTCCCGTTTCTGCGCTGTTTGAAAAACTACAAATACGTATCTATTTCTGTGCGTTCCTTTGGATAAGTTTGATTAGCTGTACGCGCATAAAACTTGCGCTCGTTTTTACTAAAATATGCCGCAGCGGTCGCACGTTATCAGTTGTCTGGAGCTATAGCTTCATCACCGTTTTCAGCGACACTATACGATAGTCGTTTCACACGTCTCGGCCGACGAGAGGGTGCTCATCATCGCGTACAGTGCGGGTAGATTGAACTGCAGTCCACGCCGGCCATTCCTTCACGGACGGCACGCTCGAATTTGATCCCTTTGACGAAATGGCTGCAAGAAAAAGAAACAAACAATGAACTTGAAAAAAAAAAAAAGAATAGATTTGCTCGGAGCAGGCCGTACAGTCACAGCAGACGCTGGAGGAGCGGTCTTAGACGACACCCACCTCTACAATATATTCCGTAATACATTCGGGCGCCTCCATTTTGGGCTGTCAAGCCATTTTTTTTTTCGTATACCGTGACGTCAATTATCAGAGCCATGAAACATCGTGCATGTTCAGACATATATGCGCCAATTCAGACATATGCGTCAACCGTAACACTGTTCGTTTGCCGACATGATTTGGCCGCAAATAATACACACACAAAGTAAAGAAACACTCAACGACAAGCACAAGTGTTTCTTTACTTTGTGTGTGTATTATTTGCGGCCAAATCATGACAGTAAGCAAGTACCAACTATACCAACTAGGCCAACAATCAGTATTGTTACTGTTCGTTTAGTTGTTAGAAAACACAAAAGTTAACAGGCCAATATGGCGGCCACTCAAACCCGTCCCTACAGTAAGCTCATTAGAGCCCGTTGCAAAGTTGAGGGCCTAGTGCAGGTACAGTTGAAAAGTACTCACAACGCCGTCATTTTGCTAGGTATGTCTGTAAGACCATGTGTTCAGAAGAAGTGACTAACAACTTAAGAGTATACGTGGTACTCTGCTATGGGAAGGCATAAAGCAGTCCCGTGGGCTTTCACCGATTGATGAGGTTGTGTCGACAAAAATTAAACCATGTAAGCCTATAGAGCAACATATTTCGGCTCACACTTACGGTGGATTGCCTACTTTGAAATGGCACTACGCACCCAGGTATAGCTGCGACATGGTTATGCTGAAGCTGAGGTATAGCTGCGACATGGTTATGCTGAGGCTGATGATGTATTATGGCTGAGTCATTCATAATGGGTGGTCACCTTTCAACCACCCACTCGTTGCGCTATTGACAGCGTAATGCCACGTACGACTGTGAGCATTTGACAACGGTAATATTACGTCTGCTAACGTTACTTCGCTCCCTACAATTTTTCTGTTGTCGTTGAAGAAGTTTCAAGCCTTTAATGGTGTCCAGTGTTCGTGAAATGTACCGCTTTATACCCTTCCAAAAAGCAGTGTTCTTTGAAACTGCTTTCTTTCCAATGTTCGGTGTAAGCTTGCACAGGGTCGTCTGGTCTCAGTACGCACACGGGGGTTAAACGCAAATATGCTTTAACTTTCGCTGGAGCTGTGCTTTTTAATAATTGCGAATGTCAAGTTGCGCGGCGTCATTTTAACAAGACAAAACCAAAGTAATAAACAAATTGTCGCCAGCTACAATTATCTATCATTGGTATCTTCGCGTGCCCGACTGGCGTAGAACGTGCGTGTAATCGTGTTCGGTTGATGGCTATACGCCGTCGTGGTTTATCATACATTGCGGAACCGATACGGTCGCACGTTACCATATGAAGTACACTAAACCGCATTAGGAAATTTTAAATGGCGGTGTAGTCGACAGGCCCTGAAATCCCGTGAAACGTTTTTCGCATCGCCTACAATTTTGACACGACTGACCAGCTTCCCGATTGCGAACAGCACCGTAGTTGGCGACCATGTTTTGTGGCAAGGCCCTTCTCTTAATCCGCAAGTGCGCGTCTCCACACCGCGCCACGTATTCACCCAAGTAATTACGGAACCTGCCCAGCTTGAAGTTGATACGAGGTCCTAGTACCTCGTGCTGGTGCCTGTTTGCTATGAGTGTCTGTGGCTAGAGCTGAGTGTATACATTTTCGCGCCATAGCGCAAGCAAATTGCGCTTCACTGCTTACACCGATTGATTGTGGCCGCTATTGGTTGGGCAAACTGTGCAAGAGGAAAGCTATACCTTTACAATGAAATAGTCTACAGTTAACTCCGAAGAAACGCTGACAAAAGAAAGGAACACATTCGAATGGGGTGAACTAAAGGACTCGCGTATGGTGTGCAGCTGAATACGCTAATTATAGGTATACGAACCAAAGTAAGGTCGAACTACTAGATTTAAATGGTATCCCTTGAGTGAATGCACACCGCTTATCGGCGCTTCATGTTACACTACACAATTTACGTCTGTCTTGAAGGATGACGTAAACTCACCTTATATAGCCTATGAACATGGCGCTCACAGGATAATCCTTCACCAGTCTCGCAGTTGCCTCGCACACTCGGAAGGAAGAACACCTGGAAGACGTACTTGGCGCCTTTGTGGACCCTGGGCGTTTCGCTGACCTGACAGGCGCGGGTGCTCTGGACGTCGGTGGCGAAACTTTCCGCATTCCCGACGGCGACTTCGTCGTACTCGTCGTCGGCTCAGCAGTCGCGGCTGTCGTCGGCTCAGAAGTCATGACTGGAGCCTCAGTGGCCTCGGCGGCTGCCATCCACCACTTCGGTACGTAATCCCGCGCCCAGTCCATCACGGCGTCCACGGCATGGAATTGCGGCTCTCCAGCTGCTCGGGTCGCCCTTGCAGATTCGGACCTTGCCGCCAAAACAGAGGTCAGCTTGAGTAGAGGCGCCAGCTGCGGGAACGTGAACATGGCGACGTACAGGAGGAGGTAGCCGAGCACCAGCACTTCGAAAGGAAGTTTGAACACGTTCATGGCTCCCAAGACGAAGGCCTTGGCCAGTGGAACCAAGACGGCGATCAACGCGACGCTGTATGGCAACGCGACGGCGGGCAGGAGAAGAGCGAACGCTTTGGAGCCTTCTACGAAGGCGTCGTCGACTTCGTTGGGTGGCAGGAAGGCAGGCACTGCGAACGCAGAACTGAAGAACAGGGCAAACAACAGGAAGCTCTTCATTTTGCGCAAAGGCGTCGAAGGTGGCTTTGCAGAGCTTGCGCAAATTACTCAGCCAGCTGGAAGACCAAGGGGCTGGCCAACGAAAGCGCAGCCGTACCCTGTGACTAGCGAAACAAGATTTCCACAGACTGAAAGTTCGCAGCACGTAAACGAAGAGTGAGCGATACGAACAAGTCTGTGAATAGCCTAAAGTACCGATAGGTCGAATAGCAGACAGGTCACGTGCTTTCTATGACGCGTGTAAAGAAGTTTAGAACTATTGTAAGGTCACAGAAAGCCTGAAATGTCATCAGCCTTAGTCACGAGCACGGTGGGAAACACCATTGTCATGAGAGACAAGCTACGATGATATGCGCATGCATTTTTTATCACTCCCTGATACGGAATGATAACCCCGTGGAAATGAATCAGGCACTTGTGTGCATGCGCGTGATTCTCCTTAGCGTACAATCACGCTTGTAACGATACCGCCACGCTTTTGCGGACAACCGTAGAAAAATACAAATAGACTAGCGTAGTTTGATTCAGCTGCAGTCCACCGAGAATGACTTCTGCGCATTAGCCATACCAATGTCGCCATGGACCGTAAGCTACACTTTATTCTCGACTCAATCTTGCAGCCATTAGAGCTTTTCGTTAGGCACCGCACAATAGCGGCCAGCTCACCACAGTATTCTCGCTACCGAAACGCTGTGTCAAGTATGTAAGGCGTCACCAAATAAAGAAAAAGAGAGAAAAAACACACAGAGCAGCGTTATCTTCAATAAAAATCAAAAGGCTGCCGTCCAACACGTGAATGTCACAGACGTGATGAGGGTTCGAATTCAGGGGGGGGGGGGGGGGGGGTCATCACAGCGAACTCCCTCACTACTGAAGGAACACTAAAGGCACCTATTAAATCCACGTTGATTGTTGAAATAGCGATCCAGCCAACTCCTAGTGTTACGTTTCTGTGCCAAGGAAGTGCTTATTTCGAAATAAAATCACGTTTCAGTGGTGCGCATGGGGTTAGCACACTTCAAATTACCCGCCTCATGAAGAACGTGTAACGTTACTACGCGTACGCTGTAACGTCACTGTTACTGTGAACAACGTTGCCCGTTATTACTGCGTGACCACCGACACTATAGCAACAGAATGAAACTAGCGGGACCCATAGCAGCAACAGCAGCCATTGAATAATTCCCTGCCATGTCCTTCGAAATGACAGACGTGCTTGGTTAAACCGGACACCGCTAGATGGTACGACCTGTCCAGTTTAACCTAAAACTCCTTGATCTTGGAAGAGTAACGACACTCTCCTCCATGTGCACGTTTCCTCCTCGATTATCCTCGCCCGCTTGCCGTACGCGTGGCGCACGGCGCCATTTTTGGCCGACGCTCCCGTGGGCGCGCCGCAGAATTTAACGAAGGCGGTTTATTTGCGGCAGCTTCCGCGCCACAGTAGTGCTGAATTTTCTTTAATGGTGATAATAAAATTAGGAACACTGAAGCCACCGTTTATTGAAGGATTACCTTCTCCCAAAGGTCGTATAAGTGGGGCATGCTAAATAAATAGAAGTTTTTATGGGGAGTTCCACGATGCGGATGTTTTTCTGCCGTATGATGACATGCTGTACGTTTGCACCTGATGTAGTTCTGCTTGTGGCATGTCCGTCTGTGTTCGGATTTTTTTCGTGCTTGTGCGCCACTATATGACACAGGTACTTACAGCGTCACATATTACAACGACTTCGTGGATGGAGGATCGTTTATTCATGTGTTCATCTTTTCGGTGAGAAAGTTGCTTTGCGTAGTGGTCTCCAAGCTGAAAAAGGCCTTTGAGCAATGTCAATACGATTAAGTGCCGCCAAAAGTGACTTGTCTACCACAATAACAGAAACATGAAAATTACTTATTAAAACTGTGTTTTTCCGATTTTCTCAAAGAAACTAGCGATCGGGTTACTTGTGAGAGGAGAAACTCTGCACCAAGATTGTCATCATAATATGCGCGACCATAGCGACCAAAACATCCTATCCGGACTGACTGATCGTGGTCAGATGTACCCATGTGACACTGGTACAAAAGATAATATCGTTTTTTTATTGGTGAATAGAAGGCATGCTAATGCAGGCGGGACAAAAACGATGCGGCCACGATATCCCAGAATATGGCTAACTTGCTATCACCATGCTATAGCTTTTTTTTTTGTTGCCCCTCTGTATTACTTTATTTCTTTCGATGGACCGCATCTATTTCATGATTTTTTGTGTTAATTCCCTTCTCCAAAAAAAGAAATAACAAAATAAATAGCCTTATAGAAAAGAGCGTCAATTAGTGCCATCTCTATTCATCCATTCATTTGTTTTCTCCACCAAGCGTTCTCGTAAACGATTCCTAACAGTCACAAAAAGCGTGATCGAGAAGCTGTGTCATCCCACGTAATTGTTCGCAGCGAAAGCAGACTACAGTTGTGCATTTTCGACGATTGCCGAGGTGCATGCGAGGTGAAAAAGTAGAAGCTCAATATTTTTATTTATTTTATTTATTTATTCATGCTGAAGACCAGCATATTGGTCCAAGCAGAAGGGGCTTAAGAAACATCATGTTATTCGTAACAGCAGAAAAAAAATATCCATATGCTAACAGAGGTCATATGTCTATGAGACAGCAACAAAATTTATAACACATTTGAACATTCTAATCACCAAGTAGATAACGTTCCAGCGACATAGCAAAATTATCAGCCAAAAAAAGAAAATCTCGTGTGGCAGCGAATTGCATTCATCAACTGCTCTGGGAAAATAACTGTATTTGTAAGCATTAGTTCGTGCAAATATGGGTGCCAAGAATGTTTGCTGCGGGTATTCCTATAGCAATGGCTGGCGTTGATCAACGCAACAAGGCACATTTAAGAGAACTTTTCTTGACATAATTTTGTCTAAAACCATTAAACGATTCAAGTTTCTTCTTGTTCCTAACAAAGGAATTTAGCATATTAATGACAACTCCACTTCAAAGTAACGCACGAATAGCAGAGAAAAAAATCCCAGCATATACGCGAGGTGCATGATGACGAGTGGGGCGAAGCGTGCGGACGGACGTATGGACGCTTCGTCCCACTCATCATCATTCACTCCGTGGATATTCTGTGACCCCGTTTTTATTGACATCCAATGCAATGCAAATGGCCACTACGACGACACGGGACAAACGACCCACGGCGTAAGAAGCTTCGCCTCTAAAAGCACGTAAGTTCATGAGCAGGCCGAAGCAATATTTGAAATGCAGTATTCGGTGACGCTCTGATACGAGCAATAAGAAAGGCGCCTTACCTCGCAAAGTACACTGTTCTTTGTCGGAATGAAGTTTTTTCGGCCTATGTTGTACAGCCACTGCTGCTTGCGCAAGACATTGCGTTTATCTTGGGGTATCATAAAAGTGCGTAACCATTTTCAATGCCATAAAGATATGGGAAAGAATGGATGCTCCCCCTGGCCTGTCATATCATTTGTAGTTGTCGAATACGGACATATTACGAACTTCGGGATACCAAAGTATACATGTATCCACGTGAGGTCATTTCCGGTAAGAAAAATGAGCGACCGCCATGTTTGTCAACATTGAGTCCGGCTGCACGTGCTGCTTACCGCCGGTTGGGATCTTGTCGACGTCATTCGTGTGATATGGTGAAATGAAACGTGCAAGCGACTTGCCGGTCGTACTTCGAAGAGCTTGTGGGACCGACTTGTGTGTCACCGAGCGAAAATTGAAATGTCCGATGGCATATCGACCAGTATGAGTTGTGCATCGGTAAGGATGCTACACCAATCTACTGTTTTCCGTGACACACGGCGACATCGTCAACTAGTGGTGCTTTCGACAAGTCGCGTCACGCAAATGAAGGTCTGCAAGTTGCGGGACGGCCAAAACTACTTCACCATGCAGTGGATGGGTGAAGAGCCCAGCAGCTTCCATCACAGCGTGTCATCGTTCTAATCGAGGATAGTTAACGCTCTTTCCCGGTTGAAGTTCGACGGAGTTCCCCAGCACGAATGCACCGTGCTGGGGAAAACTGTATTGTTTGGAAGGTGCTAATGCCCCTTTTGCACGCTCCTGCCTACGTCCATGTTCAGACGTCACCGCAGTTGGTGCTCGTTTCAGTAGTTTTTTTCTCGTGAGTTACGGTTCCGTGGGAACTACTGCTGAGGATTCATCACGCTCTGGTTCTGCGTCTACGGCAGGCAGATCGAGCGATGTTCCCGATTCCGTGGAAGGCGTGCCCGCTGCGACTGCATCCAGCGTGTTCGTCTGTCACTTTTTAGAGTAATAAAATCGCGCTGATGCTGTGGCAGTAGTCGGGTCATTACGGCCGTAGCGCAGCAACTAGTAGGCTTGGCGCTCTTCGCGGTTAGCGTCGTCCATTAAATTAGCAGGTTAGACACGTTCACATATGTTGCACTGTTTACTTCGGACGCGACTACTCAAGTGGAAAATGTCGGCTGTACATCGCTGTGAATGTAGGTGACATTCCGGAGAAAGCAACGCGATCACGTGAGTAAACGCGATAAACTTGGACAGAACTCGAAAATACCCTTACCTAGTGATGAAGTGATGACTGCAGTAACGGATTGGGGTTTAACGTACCAGAACCACTATATGATTATGAGAGACGCCGTAGTGGAGGGCTGCGTAAATTTCGACCACCTGTGTTTCTTTAACGCGCACCTAAATCTAAGCACACGGGCCACACTCATTTTCGCCTCCATAGAAAATGTGGCCGCCGTGGCCGGGATTCGATCCCGCGACCTGCGGGTCAGCAGCCGCGTGCCTTAACCTTTTAGACCACCGTGGCCGTTACTATTCCGTGTGCATCCAAAAACGGCCTGTAGTGAAGCCGGTTGTGCGACGGGAGACCAGATTTCGCTGCTGCAAGAGAGAGAGAGAGATAAAGATACAAGGAAAGGCAGGGAGGTTAACCAGACGCACATCCGGTTTGCTACCCTGCACTGGGGAAGGGATAAAGGGGAGAAAAGAGGTTGCACAAAGATGAGAAGGTACACACAATCACGAGCACACTCGGTGAGCACACACAGTTCACAGGCGGTCGCTCAGGTTTGTTGACTTAAGGTAAAGAAGCAGTGCTTTAGTTGCTTTCTGCGCAACTGAGGCAGATGCCCAAGGTCCTAGTATCTTCCGCACACAAAATGGTCCGGGGTCAAGTCGATTCAAAACCATCCGTAGCTGGCATCGCTCTGTGT